GCTGGTGTTGGTACACTAATCCAACGCACCGATAAGCTAGAATCACTCAATCGTGACCTGCCAACACATCAACAAATTCGTCTCACCCACAGTGAGACTGATTAGGAGCAGGGATGCGATATACCAAAAAGTGCAATAGCGAGCTACTGAGGCGTAGACACACTAAGGCTGAGAAAAAACTTGACAAAAATTTCCAGACTGCCATAGCGAGCGAGGACAAAGCAAAGCTTATCAAGGTCGCGGTGCTGCCTTAATGTTCTATGCCAGTGAAATTCAATCCGTACCTGGGGACTAATACAGGCCTCACGTACTAAAATTGCAAAGAGTGTCTACGCCGGGAAAAAGACTACCAATCCTTGGTTAGTCTGCTCATATTACACCGTGATCCATAGACTCCGAAATTTGCTGATTGAAAATTCCCTGCGAGTGGCTCACAAGCTAGCCAAGAAGAGACCGGAAAAAATTCGACAGCTGTGGGATACCTAATTCGAATTGACGCGGCCAAAAAAGACAAAATGGGGGCCAGCATCCACCCTATGCAACCACATCAGGAGATTGGGATGGACCATTCAGGCCGAAGGACAACTGGTTTTCAAAAGTCTGATTTTGAGTCTCCCATGCGACGCATGGGGAAAAATAAAGCAGATGTTGTCGTGAAAGAGATAGGCACGAGAAAAGGCCTTAAAACTCTGACACCCCGAAACTTAAGGCTGACTCGACAAATCATGACTGAAGAAATTGACCAATCAAAACAAGGATGATACTTGCATGGTGACGGGCAGCGTTCAAACAAATTGATGAAAGCCAAGTGGTCAGACACCCCAACCTCATGCGAATTGTGTGGTCAAGAAGACACTTGGGAACATAGATGAAAAGCTGCACTTTCTCTCAGCCGACTGCCGACGTGCTTCAAAACACTGAGCATTGAATGATACGCCGCTCGAACTGCCGTAATGCCACGATGCGACTTCGACGAGCAGCTTGCAATATAAGACACAATATGCCATATAATAATCCTAATTTCACGCTTGATCCCACACGGACATGGGGCATGTATGTGGATGGCAGCTGTGATAATAGTGCCACGACTCCAGAACACTAAGAAGGGCGGGATGGGCCTAGTAGTGGACCTCATTCAAACTGATGCAGCTAGATGGTTCATTGAAAAGAGAATTGTGCCACCCGTCTTGAACGTCCGACAAGTAGGACAACCACCTGGAACACAGAGCATAAACAGAGCTGAGCTGGACGCGTGACTGTTGCCATCAGATAAATGTGCCCTCCGACATTTCCTCGGATAGCGCCTATGCGCTGCAGATGGCCAAAACGCTCGGTCAAGACCTTGACTAAAACGTTTGTGGATCGCCGAACATTTTGACCTTTAATGCAATTGCATGAAGCCTACCAGGAGCGACCAAATGACATGCCTTTGGCCATGCATAAAGTCAAGAGCCATCAAGACCCTGGACAGGCGGGGGTGTCCGTCAAAGCATACCATTGATTGGGAATGCTGTTGCAGACACGACTGCAAAAAGGGCCAGAGAAAACCTTGCTCCCATACTTCAGGAAGCTCATGACAAATGTCAATATTTTGGAAAAACGTGGTAAAAGCATACAAGGCTTTTCTACGGGCTGCAACCCAAGTAGCATAGAAACCGCGCCTGCAAAAAAGGAATGAAATTGAAAGCGCAAGGCACACAATCTTAGAAATCTGTACAGCGCAAGATGACCCACTATGAGAGTGGTGCCGGACATAGAGTTCACCTTGCCGCAATGACACCGGAAGATTGCACACGGGCCTACTGGGGCCCAACGGCCTAACACGACTCATAAGCTTCTTGAATTTATTGCGGTGGCCTGAAAACTAGAAGAACTTGGATGTGGGGTTACATGGATTGAGCTCTTGCAATCCTACCGTTTGAGCACAAAATCCAGCCCGCCCTGAATCTAGAACCAAAAGGCAAGAACAAATATAGACTGCCAGACCTGTGTGACGAGGCCAAAATGCAGACCGTCTGCAAGGCCACTATGATTAAAAAAAAATCGATCCATGTGACTAAACTGCAGGATATGCTCCGACTAAGGATCTTTCCGGCAGAAACTAGCCAAAGAATTCTATCTCTGAGAAGGATTGGCTTCCGGCATGAAAATGCAGGTTTAACATGTAGACCTGAACTACCTTATGGGAAAGAGGTAAAAGAGACACTACATGCCATTTAAATGGCAAAGTTCATCAGGCGTCCATTACCCAAAGGGCCGGAGTAAAACAGCTGCCGCCTTAATTGACTTGACGGAACACAGACTTGAATATGCGACGGGCGATCGTGAAAGGTTTCTTGCGCGCAAATCCTTTCACGAGAAGCGGCCTGAGGGCCCCTTGAAGCCCGCCTGGCCAAATTAGGTCCTCAACTAGAGCACAACTCACTCGCCCTGAATATCCTTTGGATGGAAATGCTCTTGCATCCCAAGTTGATTTACAACCTGGGTGGCCCTGATGCCAAGCCAAAATCTCTCAGATAGAGATACACTTGTATCCTTAATTGAAATACAACTTGGGTGACGGTGAGGCCTTTCTTCGTCCCCTGGACACTGCAGATGCTTGATGTGACGTTTCACCTTTGGATGCCGGGGTGGCACTCCTCTTTTTGCTTTGGGAAGTCGCTTTTTATGTTGTCGTAGGCTCATTGAACTTGTCTCACTCGAACAAGGGCATGCAGTCATAGAAAGAGCGTTGGGGAAACGTACGGACATCGGCGGGAAAAGTGCGGACATCGGCGGGAAACGTACGGACATCGGCGGGACAAGTACGGACATCGGCGGGAAAAGTACGGACACGGCGGGAAAAGTACGGACATCGGCGGGAAACGTACGGACATCGGCGGGAAACGTACGGACATCGGCGGGAAACGTACGGACATCGGCGGGAAAAGTGCGGCCATCGGCGGGAAAAGTTCGGACACGGCGGGAAAAGTACGGACACGGCGGGAAAAGTGCGGACATCGGCGGGAAACGTACAGACATCGGCGGGAAACGTACGGACATCGGCAATAAGTGCAAACATCGGCGGGAAAAGTACGGAAATCAGCGAGAAAAGTACTTGGATGGGCGGCCAACTTGCTACGTAATTGGCGAACTTTGGCGATTTGCTAAGACGCTGGCAAGTTGCCTAACTTGAGTTAGTAAGTCCACTAAGTCTGACTTAGCGGACTTACAACCTGGCTAAGTCCACTTGGCGAGCTTGAGTTAGCTAAGTAGATGCTGAGTAGTTCTAAGTCGTTAGCTAAGTCCTCTAACTCGCCAAGTGGACTTACCCAGGCTGTAAGTCCGCTAAGTCAGACTTATTGGACTTACTACCTCAAGTTAGGCAACTTGCACGTGGCTTACCAAGTCGCTTAAGTTCGCCAACTACACAGCATAGGCCGCCCATCCAAGCACGGACATCGCCGGGAACTTTGCTTGGAGAAATGCGCGCCTTTTGCCTTTGGTGCATTGCGCGCATTCACTCGGTTCTCCGGCCCATGAGCATGACAAGCTTCAGCGCCAGGCTCGGAGCTGCCCGTGAGACTCTTGTAGCAAAAGCAGTTGAACCTTTTGTTGCCCGCCGCAAGCAACATATTATTCGCGCTCGGAAAGGGATTCCACGTGAATGCACTGTTGCGGACATTCGGGGAAAACCTCCTTGGTTGGTCCAGGTACACGGCCAGGGGGTTGCCGCATTCAGCCTTGGGAGTTTGAGAAAATATTCCTGCTAGGGGGGTAGGGCTGCTCCGACGTGTCAGAACAGAAACACACCTCAAGGGAAGATCAGCGCGCGGTTCCTTTGATCACACGTCTATGCTGCCACGGTTGAGTGGGATCGAATTCCCAACCAGTGTTTTAGAGCGAGCGGCCCACCCTTTCTGCAGTGGACATTGGGGGCTGGTCGCTGAAGGCAAGTTTCTTTTGCCCCTCGTGAGGAAACCGAACAATATTTTAATCCATGTGGGGACGGTGACCATATTCGATCATTAAGTGAAAGAACTTGATGGCAGTTTGGGAGGTGCGTTTTTCATGTTGACACATTCGGCGGCTTAATTCTTCCAGAACAAAGCAGGGATCGTGGAAGTCCCAAAAGGGCCCCCTGAGTTCTTCGTGGGGAGATCGGCGGCGTTTGGTTGTTGGTGGCCTTGGTGCTGGTGTTGCTCCTGAAGCTCCGAAATCAGGGTTCCACATCCGCCTGGAAGTGAATAAAGCGTTTGGCAATCTACGTCAGGCACTCAGGCCGCATGGAGGAAAGAGATGCCTTCAGCAGGGTTAGCTGTACTTTTCTTGGCGGTTTCAATCTGCACCAGTCTGCCAGTTGGGGCAAAATTCAATGAAATTTCTTTGGGCAGGGCAATATGTAATGACTTACTTATTCAGGCAAGCTTAAGCCGCACCAACCGCTCTTGTGTGAGTTCTTTCCTGGCGGTTCACCCCACCCACTCACTCACACACTTCTACACCCTGCTTACCCGCGAACAAAGGGAGCGAGGGACAACAGGAAGAAGTGAGTGATTAGTGAGTGCCCATTCCCTTCCTTCTAAGCCACGCCGTGTAACGGAGAAGTGGCTAGGGAAGGATTAGGAATGGGGTTCTATTCGAACATAAAACACATGTTCGAACAAAAAACACATATGGGAAAACTATATCCTTACTAAATCATACTCAAAAATCCAACTCTAGTTTGAAGCAAAGTCCTACTTGGAAAGGGTATCATATTGGGACATTTCGGAGGGCTCCGGGTTCCAAAAAATTATGAGGCTTGGGGGGCCCAAAATTGGAAATCCGAGATTTTACAACTCTTGGCTCTAGATTTATCATTCTCGAAAGGCACGCAAGCCAGGCATGGGGAGTGTGTGTGTGACATATATACACACAAGTGTGCCATATTATGTCTACTGTGGATACATTTTAGTGTATATGTACGTTTCAGTGATGCGCTGTACAATATATACATGTGGACATGGGTTGCTGGGCTC